TACATAGATTTTATAAATATGTTTAATAATTATCTATTAAATAAATAGCTACCTAAATTATAATATATTATCATAAGGTATTATTAGATTATTAATAATATTAATAATAAAGAATTTAAAATTAATTATATTTTAACTTATAAAATAGCTATTAATAGCTTTATTAAACTACTAATAATAGAGAAATATTATAATTTTATTAAAATATTAAGTTTATTTTAACTATTTATAACTAATAATAAGTTTTAATCTCAAAATAATATCTTAAGACTTAATTATAATTAAGTCCTTTTTATTTATTTATTTCCTTTATATATAATAACTTTATTCCTTTATATCTTATTAATTAATTAATTTTTATAATTAGACTTTATATTATTTTAATCACTTTAATTTGATCTTTTTAATAGTTAAATTACTAACTATAAAAATGTTCTATATACAAAGTTATTTAGCAATAAAAGTTTAAAAATAATAAAAGATTTAAATTTTATTAAGTTATAAGTTTATTACTAAGTTAGATATCATTAATATAAGTTTAGAAAGTAAAAAAGTAAAAAACTAATTAATTAAGCTTTAAAAATATTATAAAAAAATTAATCTTTAAAGTAACATTAATTAAAAACTATTATATTTAATATTTAACTTAATATAATTAATAGATTAAAAGAGAGGTATTATAAAGTTAATTAATAATTTAAAGATTACTATTTTTAAAGAAAGAAAGCTATTTAAAATATAAAATATAAAATTAAACTAAAAAGAATAGTTTTTAAATTTATTGAACTTAAAAGTTAACTCTATAAAAAGGTTTTAAATAATAAACCTCTAAATTCCTAACTTAAAAACTTAACTTAAGTTAAAAATAAAAAATAATACTAATTATATTAAATAGCTATCTAATCATCTTTATAGAGATAACTTAAATAGTAGTTCTAATATTAATTAGTTATATAAAAACTATAAAAATTTAAAAAATATTTTAAAATTAGGATAGGATAATAATAGTAATATAGAAAAATAGGAATAATATATAGAAATAAAAATAATATAAAACTACTATACGACTAATTAGATTACCGCTTTAGGATAGGAATAGCTTTATTTATAGCGTTAGAGGTATTAGCTGAAAGGGGGGTGCGAGACGGAAGTCGGCCGGGCTAGGCCTAAGGCCCGAGCCCTAGCCCAAATCCCATCTTTACATAAGGGATCAGCTATACCACTTTATAGCCAGCCGCGCCCGGCGCTCGTAGCTAGATTAATCAAGCCACTTCACGCACTCCGCCTCCCTCCCGCCCTACAGCGTCCCCCTTCCGCGCGCGGCCCCGTCCCTTCACATATCATAGCTGCAAGGATGGTGCCGGCGAAGCTTCCTTCTGATCCGTACGGGATAGATGCGAGAACGTTTGCCCCGTCATCAGTCTGGTCTTTTTAGACTCCTTACCGGGAACAGTCTGTCGTCGTCTTAATTACGGTGAACTCTGTCCCCGCTGCCATCCCCGAAGACTCCGTTATACTTCATTACTTTGACACTTACGCGACTCGGCGGGAAGGATGTCATACCGAGGCAGAATGGACGTTTCCAGAGAAGGAAACCATTTCGAAATCGTCGGCGGTGTTGTTGGCCTCCCCAATCGGCGGATACGAAGGGGTCGGACGACATCAGGGCCCAAGCGAGTCGATAGACGGCGGTGATGAATCCTTCTCGCCAAAGAAGACGCAGAACCTTTTTTTTTTTTCATATTTAAAATTTCTTCCTGCATCGCCCAGCCCGCCCGCTGCACCTTGCCTCACTCGCATCATTGCCCCATGTCGATATCAGATGTGCGTTTTCTTCATCCCCGTCTCCCGCCGCCGTTGGTGAGTGAGTTGCAGCTACGGATTACACAAAACGGCGGTCCGGCCGTAGCAGCCGTGCCAGCCTACCGGGCAGCGTTATTTCGCTATCAGTTCCAAGACATTGCGCCGCCAGCGTCAGGTCGAGCGCCCGTCCCATTATCTCTGCTTCCATCCCACCCTTTTCCCTCTCCCCCAACGGCCGGCGGCGGCGGCGGCGTGGTGCAACCCAACCACCACCGAGACGTTTCGTCCCAAGGAAAAGTGACGCCAGAGACACAGCATCTTGCAGAATCGACAATCGCGAATAAGCCTTCCCGGCCGATGTCACCCCCGTTTGGCCCATGCTCATCCTCATCCATCCCCTATCGCCCTGTCCGGGAACTCTGATACCAACGATACCACCCTGTCCGTGGGCCAAGGGAAAACAAAACCTGTGTGCTTGTGTGCCGCCAAGTGGCTCGTCTCCGTATTGAAATATGCATCGTGTATATTGATACCGCGATATTTCGTTTAACCTCGGGTCCGGGGCAGGCAAGACGATGGACGATTACTCCACGAAACCGTCGGCCGTCAAGCACCCTTTACGGAATGGACAAAGGGCCAAAAGGGACCCCATCCCAGTGATCATCAGTCTAAAAGAGACGTCGTCCGCAGGCAGCCAGGGGGGGAGGGGGGTGGTGGTGCAAGGACCAGCAGGACAGACGGACAGAGAGAGACAGAGAAAGAGGCCTGGGCTGGGCCGAGAGTTGCAACTATTTACTTGCTCACCCCATTGCGGGAGGGAAGCTAACGAGTCACATCCATGATGCATTGGGATCACGTCGCGTTGGATTGGATCCTGACACCGACTGACACTGGACTTTGACAAGGACCCCCTCCTCCAGCAACAACACTAGCTCCATCAGAAGACAAAGTGAGTGTGTGAGAGGAGTAAGAGAGAGAGCTCAGAACGAGAAGAACTTGGATGTGGGACCCCACCACACCTCCCATCAACCCCCTTGGCTTTTTCATCCCTTCGGTTCTCCCCCCACCACCCTTCAATCCTGCCAAGACCAACTGGACCCCCGTCGTTGGTTCCCAGACGCCGCCAGAGACGCTCGTCTTGTTTGGGCTTGACAAGCCATGGCGGCGTGGGGACCCACTCACCTGGGAAAATCCCATCAAACATGAAGATGATTGGCACAGGAAAATGCCACCCCCAAGTTCCAACCTGACAACCACGACGACGACGACGACGAAGACGAGACGACGACGCGGATGGCCCGCCTTATCGGAGCTGAGGAACGTCCTCCTGCTGCCATGGAGGGGACCCTTATCAGAAACCTGCAAGACGGCGGGTGCGGATTTCGTGGTGGTGGCCTTGGTGACTGACTGGTCCAGCTCTCTCTCCCCCGGCAACCAACGAGCTCGCGCCAGTTCGTTCGAGACCACTCTGTACTATGTATGTACCCTCTGGAGGAGGATGAAGACGTAATATGCCGTGCGTGAAACTATGCGAGTGAGTGTATGTGTGTGCATCTCCATGTATCTCTTGCAAATCCGCCCAACCAGTGGCGTCAACAACAGCAAGAGATAGACAGGAGAATGAGGTCAATCCCGAGGTCACGTCGAGCCAGTCGATCCGATCATGAATGATAGTAGGGTCCTGATATGAGGGGTGGCCCAGAAACACTTTCTCGCCTTAGCCCACACCACATGCATCAAGCCACCGACAACCATCACAGGCAGAACAGAAGAAGAGAGAGCACGAAGCATCCCGTCCGTCTCTTCTTCCTCTTCTTATCCATCGCTCACATGGCGTCGGCATGGGGCTCGTCCGTCGTCGTCTCCTTAAAGGCAAGACAATCCCATCCCCGGTCCCCCCCCCCAACCCCAAGCACAGGCAGGTCCAGAAAAAGAGAAAAAGAAGAGAGGGCCCCCGTCCCAAAAACAGTCTTAGTCTCCGTTTCGACGTTGGTTTGAAGGAGGTTCCCATTCGCACCACCACCACCAGTCGACCGCCTTGCTCATCTTTTTTCCCTTTCCCACCCTCACTCCCCCATCTTCTGGTCGTTCTCTGGCCTGGCCTGGCCTGGCCTTGACCCTTCCCGTCCCAATCCAGAACGTCCCATCCCATCAACCACCCCCATCCCTCATCCCTCATCCACATCTGCTGCTTCCTCTCTTCCCCCGGACATTTCCAGCCCTGCCTGACCTTGAACCTTGACCTTGCAACTGCTGCCGTCACTGCCAGTGGGAAGGAAAGGTACTTAACCAAAAGTCCACCCACCCTTCAAAAATTTGCTTTCTTCTGCAGATTTTAGGTCCTACCAAAGCCTTATTTCGTTTTATTACACCTTTTTTTTCACTTCTTTTTCTTCTTACCTTTCCCACTCCCCCCGGAAAGCAACCTGGGCTGGTTCGAAAGAAGATTGAAAAAACGGCAAACACGTTATTTAATCTTCCTCGGTTCCCACTTTGCTTCTTCTTTTCCCCAAGCAAGCCTTCTTGTTTAGACCATCCATCCATCTGCCTGCCTGCCTCCCTCCCTCCATCACCCCGGTCCAGCCACTTCGGACGGGTGTCCCGACGACGGCGTGCGCAGGCGATAAGATTTTCTGTCCGTGCAAGTCAGTTCCCAGCAGAAATACCAACCACACACACACCACAAAACTCCCCGAGCGAGTCGAAAAAAAAAAAAGAGAACGAGGGAGCCCCCCAACGGACCCCTACCTCACCATACCTTACCTGGTGATAATTAATACCAACCGCATGAACCGCAATACACGAACCAACACCCTTTTTCTTAACCGCCAGCCACCCCCTCAACCAACGAACCAAAGGAATCCAGGAAAGGGGCCTTTTCTTCTTTTCCAACGGCGCATACGCACATAGGGATATTTAGACGGGACAGTTTCCCTTCTCTCACCCCATTTCTCGATCCATAATCCGGCCCCTCCTACCGTAAACGAAAAGACGAACCACGAGGCCCTCATCTCAATTCGTCGTCAACGCCGTTCAGAACACCCACGTCACGAGACCAGCATCCGTCTTTGGATTGGGTTGAATGTTCCGCTCTGCTTAGAACCCAGACGCCGCGCTTATCGTCTGCCGCCAGCTGTCAGCCACCCCGAAGCCCAGCGCGGCATTCCCTTGCACACTGAAGAGCGTCGACCAATAAGATGGAGTCCCCTCACCACATGGGCATCCGGGAGCTCAATGTGAGCAACTGGCACGCTCACAACGGCCTGAACACTTTCAACCACGCTGTCCCGGCCATCAAAACAAGCGCAGGTAAGAGACAGGGTTTCTTTCTTTTTTTCCCCCTTCTTGTCTGCCTCGTTGCAACTTTTGAGGCTCTTTTTAAATCTTGGGCTTCTTTTGTCTTGGCTACTCTTCTTCAACGACATCTCTCCCCCCTCCGTCTTGGCATTTCATCACTTCGACTGCATCTCATCAACACCTCAAATTCACCAACCCTGGCAATCGTCAACTCGTATTGTAAGCAATCGCATGCAACACTTGCTTGATTACTGCTTGTGTGTGGGGTCAATATCTGCAAGCACCTAGTAGACGGATCCAAAAGGCCACGGATCCTCGGCTCGCGGGATCCAGACCAGTCTACAAAAACCAATCTCATCTGAAATCTCAACAACCTTTTCCATCATGTCTCTCACTTCTCACTCAAAACCTCACCTCACACTGCTTTGCGCAAGACCACTCCACCCCACGCAACCGCAAGAAGACTAACAAAAACCACCAGCCTTCTTCACCTTCCTCCGCGCAAACCTGGTCCTCAACCCCTCAGCAATGTCTTCAAACACGAGCACCCCCGTGCTCCAGCCAACAACCAGCGGCGTCTCCCACCACCGCCCTGCCGCACCCTCCCCCCTCGCAAACTCCCAAACTCTCGACCCCCTCGACGACATCCCGCCCCTCTCCCTCGAGGTCCTCTCCTCCCGCGACGACAAGGCCGCCGCCCTGCACCTGATTGCGGACTCCATCGCCCAGCAGCGCCAACAGGCCTCCTTCGCCCTTGTCTTCCACCCCGTGCCCCTCGCCGGCCTCTCTCTCGCCCTCGGCGTCGCCTACCAGTACGCCAAGCAGGACCTCGGCACCACTCTCACCCTCCTCTCCGGCGTCCTCATGACCTACCTCCTCGCCATCCGCTACGTCACGTCCGGCTACATCCCCCTCGCCGAGGCCGTCTCCTGGTCCTTCATCCGCCCCGTCCCGGACGCCACCTCCCCTACCGAGGAGGACCTCGTCCTCGGCACCCGCTTCGGCTCCGAGATCGTCGGCGCCCTCGTCCTGCGCCTCGAGCCCGCCGTCCCCATCGCCGTCCCCGCCGGCAGCGGCGGCGGCCGGCGCCGCAACAAGGCCAGCAGCTTCCGCGGCGGCAAAGGTCTCATCCGCGCGTGGACGACCAAGCTACGCTACCGCGGCAAGGGCGTTGGCACCGACCTGCTCCACGAGGCCGTGCGCATCACCCGCGAGCGCTGCGGCAAGGACGCCGAGGTCGGCTTCGCCTTGGAGCACGCCAACAGCCAGATGGTCCTGCCCGAGTTCTTCAACGGCACCTTCCGCAAGCGCGAGCGCTGGGCGGCCAAGACGCTCGACGGCGTGCTGGCCGAGAGGGAGATGCTCAAGAAGAAGAGGTGAAACAGCTTTACCTCTGCGGAATTCGCTTCAGATCTAGCCCGCATGGGGCTCTGGTCTAACTTTACCTCTTAAAGCCCTTTTATTGGACAAAAAGAAGAAGAAAGAATGTCGATGTCTGTCTATTGAGACGAAGTGAGGCGCGTGGGATAGCGTGGGGGCGGTGGGTGGTACTGGATTGAAATCGGACTTAGGTCATCTTATACCCTCAAGAAACTGCGAGGCACATCGCACAGACGAACGATGATAGCTGCAGGGTCTTCATTGTTTTCCCCTCTTTTTTTCAAAACACTTTTACTTTCTGGATACCCCTCGTTTTGATTTCACAGTCGTTGGCGGTTTACATAGAACGAGAGACAGTAAGGTTGAGTCTCTGGTGCACCTCCACTATGAGACCGGCCCAGAGGTGTAGGACAAGGAAAGACATGAAGAATGTCTGATCCTTGCGTCTCTGCCTAATTTAATCCCTTCGTTTGACATGCCACTTTAAAGCTTCTTGATTCACTGTTTTGTGTGTGATGGCGACATGTTCATTTTGGTGTTTGTGCTAATCTTCTCGACGCGGCTTCCCCAGTGGCAGTCTAGCAACCTGCTCGTCATCGTCGCCTCTGATGTCCGATGAATGCCGCGCTCAGCCAACAGGCACTCTGACGAGTAGTGGACTCATTGTGAGGTGAGCCCATGTCGACCCAACCCATGATGTTCATACGCCCTCAGCTTGTCCCTCAGTAACCCGTTGAATGGGAGCTTCCGGAGACCAAAGTCATCCCGAACAGCGTCTGTCCACGTATCCCCTTCGACACAAGTGTACCCATGACAAATGTGTGCAGTAGCAGCCGTATTTAAACAGGCTTGAAAAACAGTAGTGGCAGTCTCTTGTCCCATAATGCCGGCGCCTATTTCCATTCTCAACGGATGACCAAACGCATCTCGAAAGGCTAAAGATTCGCTCTCTCTATTCGTCAACTAGACAGTAGACGCGGATGTCGATCATTCCCACGGAAAAGCTTCACGCGTTCATGGTGATGTGCCGTAACCCAGTAGGTATATCTCAGTAGTAGTTAAAAGGACAACATGTTGGTTGCCTTACTGGCCGGCGCCCTTGCGCTTTCTAGGGTCATACGTCTCCGGGTCGAAGCCGTAGATTGGTGCCCCGAGACGTCGGAGGGAGTGAATGACCTGAAAACGTTTTAGCATGAGTTTGTGATAGGCCCACAAGGGGTGCATCTGGCGAGAAGCGCAGGCGGAGGCCAGGAAGTTGGGAGTTACGTCGTGGATGGTGATAGTCTTGGCACAGCGGTACTCGACGTATGTAATGCAATCACGGATGATCTGAAATTGCGTTAGTCTGGATGGCCTTGAAGAATGTTCGTAGTTCGACACGTACGCCCGTCAATCGATCCTTCAGAGCGGAGCGTGCATCGTCGTATATCATAGCCGAGATACGCTTGACACCACCGCGGCGAGCGAGACGACTGGAGGATGAAGGTTAGCTTTTGATTCCGCTTTGAAGAAGTAGGTAGACTATCGAGAGCATGCGCTGAGGGAGAGATGTGGGAAGAAGGAAGGAGGATGCGCGCACAACGCAGGAGCGTCTTAAGGTCGCTCCTTCCTGATCCTCAACACTAAGTGCAGAAGCTCCTATACTCAGACCTAGGAAATCAGAGAACACAGGCATGCACTCGAACCCTCGAGAATAAAAAGAGAAGTCAAACTCACCGGATAGCGGGCTTGGCTATGTGAAAAGAGAGTGTTAGCCATTGTACCCACACGTCTGTAAGACCTTGGGCGATCCAGCACACGTACTAATGCCGCGAATTGTGTCCTTCATAATTTTCCTGCTCACTAGGTCAGTATCTTGATCTCAACTGAACACTGGTGTAGACCTGGAGAATCACATACCGGTGGCGCTTCGCACCTTGTCCTGGGAGAACCTTTCCTCCCGAGACCTTTCCCGTACCCTTTTTTCCACCGCCAGGGCCCCCGCGGGACGCCGGCATTGGCGGCATTGTCGCGAAATGATCTTCAAGACGTAGCTAACGAGGGCCGTCGATGGATTGAGGTCTGGATAGGATTGAGAGTAGGAAGCCTGTGAGGTGTTGTTTGTGAGTTTGGTAACAAGAAAGGGCGACGACAAGGAAGTTGGTTGTTTAGATATGCCCCCGGCCGTCGCGACTGCTGTGGCTTGCACCTGCTAGCGCGGGGTGCCCAGGCCCCCAGCAGCTGCAGGCGCGTTCTAGTGTCTTATCGACCTTATCGGCTACTGAACCCCCTGCTTGAAAACAGTGTATATATGCAGCGTATCGACTGCACACTGTGCATCCAAGACAAGCAGTTGTGTTGCGTCATGTTTCATCAGAACCTAGAGCTCCAGGCAGGTGCCACGGGTCTTGGGTCTTGGCAAGAGTAAAGACGAGGAAGATGCAGTATCGTATCGAGTGTATCACTTATTGAGCCAAGCGTACAAGACGAAGAATGTATTGTATTAGAACAGTCTTATGAATAATAACCAAGCAGGAACGAGTGACCTGAGCCCCATCTGAACGCCAAACCGCACCGGGCCATATTTACCCAAGGAGCCCCCATTAGCCAAGGTCTCTCATTCAGAAATGAAGGTGGACTCGCAGTAGCAAAGTCCTTCCTCGGAGATCTCTTGGTCTCCGATCTTAAGCTTCAAGGAAAGCTTGTTCTTTGTCGGGCAGAACTTGCACTTGTTAGCTCGAGAATCGACTGCTTGAGGCTACATGAACTTACTTGGTAGATATATGGCTTGGTGCCCGCTGTTCCAGCTACTATCTTCTTCACGAAGCCAGGAACCTCTGCCAGAACGTCCACCCTGTCGAGTCTCTCCTCCAAGGCGCCCACGATAGAGCCATCGACTGCCTTGCCATCCTTGTCCTTGCCGGACCAGGTGAACTTGATCTCCTCGGGCTCGGGCCACTCGTTGACGCTATCACTCTTGGACTTGGTGTGTGTGGCAGTCTGCGTGACGCCGCCGTAGATCAGCTCGCCGTCCTTGGCGATGCCACCAACGCTAACCACCGTTGAGCCGTAAGAGGGCGGCGTGGTGTACTCCATCATGACGGCCGAGTAGTTGGGGCCCTGGAAGTCGACAAAGTTCCACTTGGCGGCGGCGTGGTGAGGCTTCATACCCTGCAGCGCGTACACGTAGAAACCCCTGCCCGTGAAGTTGACGGGGCCCGCCTTGGTGGTGATGGTGCCCTCGACGGCGCAACGGGGCCAGAAGGCATGGCGCATGGTGCCCCAGGGCTTAGACAGGTCGGTGCCAAACAGCGTCTTGCCAGTCTTGCCGGCGTGGAAACCGGGCGAGGTGCGGGTAACCTTGAGGTTGACGAGAGCGTTGTCCGAGTTCATGCTCTTGATGGTGTAGAAGGTGCCGTCCGCGGACAGCTCGACGGCGCAGTCGTCGGCGAAGAAGGAGTACCGATCTTCGCTAATCTCGTAATGGTTGAGGGGCGTGGCCTCCCAGAGCATGGGCTTCGAGTTGTTGGGATACCAGATCTTGACGTTGAACTGGCAGGTCGTGCGGATGCCGCTGTTCAGACGGGTGAGGTTAGCAGATAGTCGAGGCGACGATGGGCGTGCGTACTCGCGCGCGACGGCGCGCCAACATACCCAACGTTGCTGTAAATGACCTGGGCCATTCCAATGTGCCCCTCATCACCCATCAGGTAGAAGCTCTGGGTCTCGACCGAGGTGGAGTCGGCGGCAATCCATTTGAGATGGTCCTTGGTGAGCTCGGTGAATGTGATCTCCTTGGCCTCCTCGGCGACGGACTTGATGGCTGAGGGTCCGTAGATGGGCTCTTGGGTACCCGCCACATCGGCGAGCCTGTAAGAATTGCAGTTTAGCAGGGGCAGTTTGGGAAGGGCAAGAGTTGGGGGCGGCTTGGTATGTACTTTTGTTGCGCCCACTTGAACATGTTGACGATGTCGGACCGGAGAAGTCGGGTTAACGGATGGATAAGAGTATTAGGTGCGATTCGGAATAGGTGACTTGGGTGAGACAGCAAAGACTTGATCTCCAAAACTTAGCTGCTCGTTGAGTTGTTAAGAAGGAGAAAATGGAAACCAGGCGCTTCAGAAAGGTAGAAGTTGGAGCTGACCGCCCCAAACAATAACTGGCGGAGGGGCCGAGGGGTCATCCCACCACCCACTGACGGTGAAACTGTGGCTAGGGGAGCCGGGGTGGGGCTTTCCTTCCCCGAGCATCCCGGTCGCTTGGACGTTTAGCGGTGGCTAGTGCATAAGGCTTCTAAATTTTCCATCTCCGAACACATTCAGCATCGGATTCGATTGAGTGAGGCTGTTTTGCAAGGCGCATACGGTACTTTAGCTGCCACCTCCCCCTCTACCCGGACTGTCAGAACACCTGCAACACCCGCCCATCATGTCAAAAAGAGGAGCCGCCGCCGCCGACCAGGTCGTGAAGCTCATCGTCGGCGCCGGCCAGGCGAGTCCCAGTCCCCCCGTCGGTCCTGCGCTGGGTAGCAAGGGTGTGAAGTCGATGGACTTTTGCAAGGTGAGGCTGCCCGCCCTCGATCCCTCGATCCCAATGCTGCGACGAACACATGGCCACCTGCTGCCCAACAACCGTGCTCTGTTCTTTCTAGGTGGCATCGGTTCGACCATGCCTTGGAAGACATCAATGCTAACGGAGCTTTCGATATAGGAGTTCAATGCAAGGACGGCAAACTTCATCGTCGGCACGCCGATGCCCTGCCGAGTCATGGTTCGCGGCGACCGCTCATTTCACTTCGACATCCGAACGCCGCAGACATCGTGGCTGTTGCTGAACGCCGCCGAGGTGCCGATTGTGCCAGTTGGCAACAAGAAGAAGAGGAAGGGCGCATCGAACCCCGGCAAGGAGACAGTCGGCACCCTCAGCTTGAAGCACGTGTACGAGATCGCCAAGATCAAGCAATCCGAGACGCGCCTGTCAGGCCTCAGCCTCGAGTCCCACTGCAGGTCCATCATCTACCAGTGCAGGACGATTGGCCTCAATGTCGTGCCATAGGGTGATCACTCTCGCCCACAACCTCGCCAAATCGATTTTCTACGTTACATACCCTCATCAAAAACGGAGGCAGGCGCGGAAACTATCCAATTGTATACCATCTCCCTCACCAAGAAAAGAGCGCCTGTGTTGTTGTATTATATCGGAGAGAGACGGGGTAGAATAGTAACAGGGAAGATTGTACGTTGTAAGATGCAATGAGAAATTTCAACAGCCAAATTGTGGCAGATGGCTGCCACGCTTCTTACGTTGGTCGCGTGGTTTAGCGGCAATTGCGACAGGAAGCGGCTGCGGTTCTGGTGTATGCGTGCTTAGTTCCGAGTAGGCACTGACCTCGACCATGTGTCTCGTCTTGGGAGAGCTGAAGTCTGTTCTCGCGTTCTTGCATGTCTCCAATGACTCTGGGCTGGTTAGCTGTCCGTGGGCAATCGAAACGACTAGCGGAGTGTCCGATGGTTCGGAATAAGCTTGACAGAAGGTCGAATAGACTATGACGAAATTCAAGCTGCAACAATACGGTCTGTGAGCTGTGTAGGTCGGATTGGCCAGAGTCTAATACGGGGCGAGAGGGGAGAACTCTCCATGAGCCGAGCTCCTGGATGTGTGAGAAGGTCGATCAGAGGTCCAGAACGAGAATACAAGCGGATTGCCAGCGCATCAGTGGGGAATCTTGGGTTTAAGTGCCAGAAGCTTCGTGCAAATCGAGATCACATTTGGGGAGTTGGTTCAGATGCAAATGTGTGAGGTTAAGCCAAGTCATGTGCTGCAAGGTACTGGCTGCTGAGCTGCGTAGCGCTGACGTTACCTAAGGTACGATGAGTGTGTGAGGGAGTTCCCATGCTTTTGGTTATGTAAGGCGAGTAAGAGCCGAAGTTACCTTGAGGAACGAACGGTGCAGCGCCGGCGCTTCGAAGCAGGCAACCAGCTTTGCATAGAGTTCCATCCTCAGCTTCCCCGCTGGGTGCGACGAGGAGAGAGGTCCAGGCCCAGGCAATCGTCCAGGTTCAGCGTCGACTGCCTGCTGGCTTGCTTGCATCGAAGCCCACCTTGCCCCTGGAAAGCGGCGCTGTACCTGGGCAAACGGTTCCATCGCATCGCATCGACCTGTCAGCTGCACAAGAGGGCTTCCAAGGCTTCGCCAGGGTGGAACCGATTCGATGCCGGACACATGTGACGGAACAATGGCTGTTTTCATGCTGCAGTTAGCTGCAACACATCAGCACCTACGCCACAGTGCTGGGCTCGTCGCCGGGTCGGGCTGGAACCGGAGTTGCGGCGGTACTGCGGTACGTCTCGGTATGTAAGTACTGGTGAAGTGAGTGAGTGATTGACCGGGCCTGTGGAGGTCTTGGTCCGTCTGTTCCTGTCAATCACTTCATCAGAACCCCGTCTGTTAGCCGAGAGCTGACAGAGAGCTGCTTCGTCGCGGCTCGTGTAAGCCGAAGGATGACGGGATAATGGTGGGAAGACGGGACGTGCATCTGGCATCCACGTTCTTTCGTTTGTTGTGAGGGAGGGCGACGACGGGTTTGGATTGGTCTGGGTTGTTTGCTGTTGAGCTTGACTCGTTCATCCCGGTCCAAAGGAGTGGTTTGCATTGCCAAATAAGACGGCGGGCAATACCTAATAGGTGTTTACGCGGGAGGGAGGGGGTGATTCATGGATGCCAGGAGGAAGGAAGTTGGAGGCGAGGAAAGAGAAAATTCTTTCCATCCATTGTAGTCATTGATGGGGTGGGACGGACCGAACAGCAAACAGCCAAGACCCGGCTGTCAATATCGATTTTGTCTTGGGGTCCTGTGAGATTCGTAGAATTGGACAAGTACCTTGCTGCATGTGTCACGGCTGCAAAGCCGAGAAAAAGGACAAGCCCTCAAGGGGGGGAAAATAGAACATCGAACATTCCGATCACCAGACAGGAAGGCTTCCAAACAGGCAGGGCAAGACAGGGCAGCAGGGCAGAACAGCAGGGCCTTGCGGCTGGGTCCTGATGCAGATACGCGCAATGCATCCATGATTTGGGGGGGCTGCCAAGTATTGCTCCCGTTTCCTAGGCAGTTTCCAAGCGGCCCCAAGCCGACTCCCGACCTGCCCCCAGTGGTCTTCAGCGGTTCCACAACCCAGAAGCCCAGAAGAAGGCCGAAAAGGCTCCATTCCGGTGTTACGGTGTCTTATCCAGCCCACCGCTCCCCCCGATAAGGGACGCCGGCCCCGACCAGTCAGCTTGTATCTTTTTCCCTCTCATCAGCCTGTGAAGGGACTGGGAGTACCGGGTACCTCCTCCCGTCGCCCTCTGACTGGCGGCGCGGGTTGACGGGCAACTAGAAGGACCCGTACCTTTTGAGAATCTGATGCAGCAGAAAAGGTCCAGTCACGATGCCGACCTCTTCCATACCTCCGACCTACCTAACTGAGGCAAGTAGGTACTTTCACACACGCTTACTTAGCCTTTGGGCAGGCAAGCACGGCATAGTAAGTACTTACACACAAGTACTCGCTCACCTGCACAAGGCTTGGTATTACACAGCGACTGCGATGCGGATGCGACTGCGACCACAACTGCTACAAGTCACAAGTGACCCATGCGGTGCATTTTAGCTGTAGTCAGAGCCCCACCATCCGCAATTGGCGGCATCCACACACACTCTCTCGCTGCCCGTCGTGTCCCTGGGTATCCGTACTTTTCTCTTTCCCAAGCCCGACTTTGTGTGTGAATTTGTTTGATTTCTTCCCACTTGCCTCAACTCTCCCCGCCTCAAACACCAGCCTTTACCAAACGACACGCCCGAGTAGACTATCGTCATCCTTTCAGTCGGGGTCATGGCCGCCCCGTCTCCCCCTCGCGATCCTCAGAAGGAGGAAATCAAAGTCCCAGGTACAAACGCCCTATCCATCCGTCTGTTCCGGAGCGCAACCCCGCCCTCGGTTCATCTGTTGCGCATGTCACAGTCACACAGCACCAGCACCAGCACCCGTACCAGCGCAGCAAGCAAAGCACAGCATAGCAGCACCTTGGAGGAGCGCGCCCAGGCAGTCTACCTCAGTCCGGCCGATCCTCCTCTCACCCTTCACCCAACAGACAGACAGACAGACAGATGCCCATGCCCACCCTCGCTCAAAGCCAAAGCCCAAGCTCATGCCCAAGAAATCTCGTGCTGACCGCTGCGCTTGTCGCAATGCCCAGAAATCACACCCAACGCGCTCAATACCTCCTCCGATACCGACAAAGACGACAAGATGCCCCCTCAGGATGCGCCCGCCGTCCGCTTCGCTTCTTCCGTCCAGGAGATTACGCCTACCGTCACCACGACATCACCAACCGACACCCAGTCGCTCATCGATGCCGCTCTCGGAGACGCTTCTCTCTCAGAGGTCACCCCCGATCAGCTGAGAGCTCTTTCCAAGTCCCTCCAAGGAGCACCGTTGCAGCAGCGCCGGATGAACGTCTTTGGCTTTGAGCCATACTCGCTGCCCGCATCACGCGTATGTACATCTCATGCCCATTTCGTCCTCTCACATCCTTAGCTTGGAGTATCTTGACGTCGTCTGCTTTTTGCTTGGGCTTTCGCCCCAGATGCTCTACGTTTCAAAGCACATACCTCCCGTCCTTCCTGCCTTACCCCTCCACCTATACCACCAACACCGCCTCAATGTTTAGGCCCCTCTTCCCCGGACACATCGTATGCTGCACAACCACCAAGGACTGGTCTCAATGGCGCCTCTAAGCAGAGGCATCCTTGAAAAGTCTCTTGCCTTGCCTCAAGCCAGCTATTCCAACCTGCCATGTCCACTGCGTCGCACACGCCAGCCTGCACCACCGGCTCTTACTGACATCTCTCCCCTTCGACCAGGTCTGCTCGCGCGAAGAAGAGTCCGACAACAGCAGGCTCCCGACCCCGAATTCCAGTGGTCCAAAATCGCCGCGTTTTGGTCCGGTGCACCCGATGCAGTCACCTCCCCTGACCCCGGCGGGTACCGACCCTCAAGATCCGACCAAGAAGAGCGTTAGCCATGACGATGCCCGGAAGACCACCTCGAGTGAGCCTCAGGTTATTACCCCACAGGCTTCTTCTTCTCATGACACCTCGCCCCCGTCGTCGACAAGAAAGAGCATGCCGGTCCGCGCAAAGTCGACCGAGCAAGTTGCTCAACGATCAGCATCCGCAGAAGACAGAGACCACGACGCGAGATCGCACAGGAAAGGCATGTTCTCTATCGGCCCCGGCGGATCCGTGCCTGTCTCCCGAGAATCTAGTCCATCTCGGGCTTCAATGTACTACTCCAAGCCGATGACACCCGGCGGAGATGCCAACGACCCGTATGCCGCCCACAAGCGCCAACCCCAAGCTCCAAATCCTCAACGTGGGGCTATCGACTCGAGATTCGTCTTCTCCAGGAGAAAGAACAAGCATGGGTCCCCTTCTGGCTCAACGTCAAGCCTTGGTCGTACTACCGACAAGCGTCACTCAGGGATATTGGGCAATCTGAAGGGTCACGGTGATGAGCTGCAGGTCCCTCACGACGATGCGGCTAGCATCTCTAGCCGACAAGGGTCATTTGCGGACTTGAAGAGATTTTTCAAGGTCGGCGGTCACCACAAGATGAAGAGGGAAGCTTCACCCTCTTCGATTCGCTCTGGCGCCAAGACTCCACCTACAAGGTCTTCTACCCATCAGCTGCCCTTTGGTGACGATCATGGATTGACCTCGAAGTACGGCAAGCTCGGCAGGGTCCTTGGATCTGGCGCCGGCGGATCTGTGAGGTTGATGAAGAGGAGCGAGGACGGCGTGGTTTTTGCGGTCAAGGAGTTCCGTCCCAGACATTCTTACGAGACCGAGAAGGAGTATGTGAAGAAGTTGACCGCCGAGTTCTGCGTTGGTTCCACTCTACACCACGGCAACGTCATCGAAACCCTTGATATACTCCAGGAGAAGGGCAAATGGTACGAGGTGATGGAATACGCACCTTACGATCTCTTTGCCTGTGTCATGACTGGTAGGATGACACGTGAAGAGGTCGGCTGCTGTTTCCTGCAGATCCTCAACGGCGTGACATATCTACACAGCATGGGTCTGGCTCATCGGGATTTGAAGCTTGACAACGTCGTGGTTAGTGAGCACGGTATCATGAAGATCATCGACTTTGGCAGTGCCCATGTCTTCAAGTATCCGTTTGAGAACGATATTGTTCTTGCCTCAGGTTAGTAGCTACGCTTGCTTACCGTGACTAAAAGCTAACTTTAGCAGGCATCGTGGGTTCGGACCCGTATTTGGCCCCTGAAGTCTACGACGAGCGAAAGTACGACCCTCAGGCCGTTGACATCTGGTCTCTCGCAATCATCTACTGTTGTATGAGTCTGCGCAGGTTTCCTTGGAAGGTTCCTCGTATGACCGACAACTCATTCAAGCTGTTTGCGGCTGAGCCGACTCCGGGTCACGATCCGAAAAAGCTGATCATGCCGTCCAAGTCAACCAACGACCTCTCAAATACACCGCAACGGGATATGTTTGAGGATGGCAAACACGAACACAAGCACCATCACAAGTCGGAACACAAAGAAAAGGAAAGCGAGGCCCAGCCCGCTCAGGGCACCACCACCACGACCGTTTCCTCGGGCAAATCCGACGGGCAGCAGCCAGAGAAGAAGGAGGTCATCAGGGGCCCATGGAGAATTCTGCGCCTACTTCCCCGCGAGAGCCGACACATTATCGGACGCATGCTTGAGATCAAGGTCAAGCAGCGAGCGACGATGCAGGACATCATGGAGGAGCCTTGGGTTGCGAATACGGTCATTTGCCAACAGCCCGAGCCGGGTCGTGTCATTCACGCTGAAGACCACGTTCACACTCTGGAGCCGCCGGCGCCCCAGAAATAGACGGCGAGACATGGGTTCCGAATGAAGTTGAAATTGCATGTTGATCCCGGCGTTTAGGATATCAGGGAAGGAGAGCGGAACTGGGATTGGGCGCGGGTGAGAATTGGCATGGCATGAGCGCCCCGAGGGTGACGATACAGCGATGACTCTCTTATTTAGAGCGGGTGATTTGGGTGTTGCGTTCAGAACAGTGTAGATGGCAGCGGTAGCTCACGGGCTTGTATCATTTCAATGACATTAGATAGGTAGATAATAGTAGTTGGTGTGAGACGACAGTGATCTGACCTTCTGCTTGTGATCGTGTGAAAGCGACTTGCCTAATCTGGCAAACAAGGTGTGATGCGGCTTATCTGCTTATCGTTGACATGATGTCGCGATTCCGCGATCTGATTTGCGAAGTCGGAATGAGCCGCCGTCCTTCCTCGGCCCGACGAGGGGTTGGACTGGACGGTGGTGGTGGGGCACCGGGAAAATCTTTCGGCCGATCGACCCAAAAAATTGTCGACTTTCTGGAAGCTCTTGGAATAGCTTCAAGGCATAAAGTTCGTTCCCCGTACCCGCCTCCCAAACTCGTTGTCCATCCACTTTTCCTCCTCACGTTGCAGTTGCGTTTCAGTCACCGATCAATTTCAACCGTCACAATGGTACGTTGCGCCCCTCCGTCTTGCGATTTAGCAGTCATACGGCGTGGTGTTTCTGTTGTTCTGCACCCAATGCCTTTTGGAAGGACGCCAATTGACGGCGCTTTTGCGCTGTCCTTAACATGGAAGAATTGAGAATGTAGTCTAACGCACCATGAATACAGGCCACCTCCGTCCGCTCCATCCGCGCCCTCGTGCCCCTCCTGGACCGCGTCCTCGTCCAGCGCGTCAAGGCCGAGACCAAGACCGCCAGCGGCATCTTCCTGCCCGAGTCCAGCGTCAAGGAGCTCAACGAGGCCAAGGTCCTCGCCGTCGGCCCCGGCGCCCTCGACAAGAAGGGCAACAGACTACCCATGGGCGTCGCCCAGGGTGACCGTGTTCTGATTCCTCAGGTAAGCTTTCCCCTCTCTTTGGAAACACGGCGATGGGTGACGGGACGTGGACAAGAATGCTGACGAGGTCCAATGCAGTTCGGCGGTTCCCCCGTCAAGGTCGGCGAGGAGGAGTACCAGCTCTTCCGCGACAGCGAGTAAGTTTGCCCTTCCTCTCCCACAGGCGTCATCAGGCGCCTGCACATAGATATGCTTTCCTGCGGTAGTCTCGGGGAAGAAGCGAAGATCATGTTTTGAAGACCGAACGATGGCTGACTGGGTGTGCGCTTCAGGATTCTGGCCAAGATCAACGAGTCCTAAGGAAATGTAATTGTAAGGATATGATAATGTAAAACAAACAAAAATCAACTTCCCCGGATCAAAAAAAGAGGATACCCCACGATTTCAACGATTTCTTGGCGTGTACAATACTGTGTATCAAAAGGAAACAAAACTTCTTAACTCTCTTCCCTCAAAAAGCGAGCAGCATGAATACGCAAGAGGACAAGGGACGATTTGCTATTGTGTTAGCATTTTTGGCATAGATTAGGTGTTATGTTTGGGTATACTCGTAGCTTCCGTGGGCGTTTGGACGAAAGAAGGCGAGGTGGCATCGGAGGAGCTGACGACGGTTGAGCTTCAACTAGACCAACTCAGCTCTCATCGGCCTCTGACCCGGATTACCTGCCCTCTTTGGAGAACCCCGCGCAGTTTGACTCATGACAAAACCTTCTCCCCTCTCCAAGATGGTCGCCATTCTCGCCTAAACAGTGCATTATGTGTGTGAGTTCAATAACAATAGTGTCTCGAACACCTCCCAATGACATTCCACGACATGGCGTACGTCATCTACTCGCTACACTGACGGCTTGTCCCCTTTTTGCCAAGACCGAAGGGGTTGGACGAAGGACGGTCTCTGAGGCAGAGGAGCTGCGCTAGAGAGGCAATGTCGCTCGCATATTGTCTGTTCTTTTGGACCGGTGTGCAACAATGCGTTTCTTCCGTGCATTTGTCCCATTCCACGGCCCGTATTGTTGTTCGTAAAGAAAGGAAAAAGTGAATCAAGTGGCTTGCGTATTGTTTCTTCTACTCTCCCCAGGTCTGCACATACACGAGCTCGGACCGGGCGAGGATCTACTTTGCATACGAATCGGCGTCATTGGAGAGGCATGGGAGTTGGCGATTCAGTGAGAGTGACACAGCCGCTGCGGCTGCGGCTGCGCTGTGCTGCGGTCCGCCAATGATATGGAGAGGAACGGGGCTCGGCGAGTGCCCGAGTCAATCAGTTTTACCAGACTGTTCTGTTTGTGTGTTTGTGTATGTAGTGCGGAAACTGAAAGCGCTGCAGCGGATGCCCGTCGGATAGTAGGTAGTCAGAGTGACGAATCATTAGCAAACAGATGAATATACGCATATTGAATGCCCATGTGGATGGTATGGATTCATGTGTTAGTTAATTAGACGGGGATTGAGAATTCGGCCAAACAAAGCAACGAGGCCACTGAGCGATAAACAAAACACACAGGAACAAGGGTGATGAGATATGGATAATGGTGAACGGGAACGAGTGAATGAACGAGCGAATCGGAGCAGGGAAGCGAGAAGTGGGAGTCCGAGATGTGGACGGAATTGCACCCACGGGAGACCCGGAGTTCCCACCTCCTATTTTCACACGCAGTAAAAAAAAAACCGAACCATGGCCCATGGGTCGAAGACTCGAACTGGGCAAGGCATTGTGCAGCGAGATTTGAGGTTCGCGACCTGCTTGATGGTTTTTTTCCTTCTGCCCTTCTCCTCCCTGCTGTGCGTGCGTATGTACTCCTTGCTGCGTCTAGACAAGCGCCAGCGTCTCGGCATCGGAACGACGGAGATCGAATCGCAGCTTGTTTCTCATCGGCTTCTGAAATCTGATTCAGGGGGGCAGGGCGGCTGATGGTGCTCGATGTGGGGGAGGAAAGGAGCGCAGTAGTTGAATAGAATAGACTGGCGGCTGCGTGGCTCCAGCTGCCAATCGGGAGGCGTTTGCATGTCTCCTCTGGCGCGCGATCTGGGAAACGGAGCAGCCTCAAACATCGGACGGGGCCCGGGGGAGGGAGAGTGTGCATTGGGTGTTTGCTGTTCAGTGCAGCCGGCAGCAGTTTGCGCACTCTCCCGTCTCCCGTCTGCCGTCGCAATGTTGCGGTGCCATCAATCAAGAAATCTCACGGAGACAGGGAAAGCCGCTGATGACGGCGCTGGCGCGTGCGAGTCCACGTTTCCACCGTCCACGAGTCCAGTTCCCAGAACCAAGGTTCTAGCTTGTAAAGCCGTCTCCGTCGACAACGTGTACCGTCACTAATGAGCCCACTGTTTTGTGGTTTCGTCACGTTGTGTTTCCTTGGTCCGTTCGTTCTGGCCGCCTCTGTGTTTGCTTGTTCGGGTCGCAGGCCCAGTTTTAGGGTGTCAAGCTTAAGGGCTTAAGTTGCTTAAGTGCGTTTGAGAAGGAGGAGAAATATAGGGGAGGTACCCAGTGCAGCATCCATCACCCACGGCAAATGTTTCCCAACGGCCCTCGTCCGTTTACCTCCCCTCCCCCCTAACGTTAAGCTTACTGTTTACACTACTGCAAGGCACGCACACTGGACGAACCTGTAGCGCGTGTCTTTTGGGAGGCTTGAAGCTCGCCGGGAAGACAGATCAGCCATAATCCGTCAACGTGCCCGTCACCCAATATCGGGCATCAGCCGACGGGGGTACGGGCACTGATAGTCAGGAGTTGATTGGAATGTCTCGCTCGCTTCCTTCGTTTGTTCGTCGCTTTTTCTCCTTCTAGATCACCTTCAGACGAACCGTCTAATAACGGCCCCCTTCCCGCCACCCTAGCAGGATCAGGTAAGCTGCCAACCAACAATGCCGTAGGTTACATTCACAGTCTGGAGTCAGCCTGGCCCCCTTCACGTCGGGCTTTCGCGACGTCGTCGTCGTCGTCGAAAACCACCCCCAAAAACCGCCAAGATGGCTAAGCTGTCACTTCTCCTCAGTCTTCCCCCTGCCCCTGGGGTCCAGGTTTCCCCCTCGACGAGGAAATCAGCGCTGGCGCGTTGCTCCAGTCTGAATTGTTTGATTCCTTGGAAAAGCGAGGGTCAGAAGGGACCCGCTCCGAATCTGTCATTTCGGCTTCCGATATTGCTGGAGCCTGCTGTCGACAAGCTTCAGGGGATCGACGCCCGGCTGGAGGACGCGGCGCAATGCGATGGAAATCAGCACGCCACTTCAGCCTCCTCGGGAGACCCTCCGCCATCACATTTCATCGGGGAGAATCAAGGGGAAAAAAAAAAAATTCGTTCTAGTGCGGACCCTCTCATCTGCATCCTTCAGAGTCTAGACGGTCTGTCTGCCCTGGTCCCATCCCGTCTCCCGAGATCGAATGTGAGAGAAACCACAAGAGAGATGAGAACATGATTGGGAGGAAGAGGGGAAGGGCCAGAGTCCAACAAGACTGTGCAAAGGCCGGCGGATCCTCAAGGCTGAAGGTGAGGGAATTCATCCCATGGTACGGATGCGGATATCTGTATTGTGTTGCTATCCCTGGATGCTGTTATCGGTACCTGCCAGGGGTGGAAGGTAAGGCAGGGTAAGATGGGATGAGATGCATCATACCCAAGGTCCCAGAACGCAACCCTAAAAAAGAGCTGCAAACCAGCGCGCGTCCATTCGCCCGGCCTCGGGCTGTTTATCGTGTCGATCATGTTTGTCGTTTCTTGTCTGACGCTGCCGCTGCAACTGCAGTCTGCACCATCACTGCACCATCACCGCACCACTGCAACCCAAAGCAGCGCATGCGTACCGCCCGTACCTGGTGCCTGACAGACAGGCTACAGCAGCGACTCAGGGCCCTTAGGTCTTCTGCTTTAATTCCCCGAGCAGAAGACCTAGAGAGCCCTGCCCTGGAGAGAGAGAGAGACGCTAAGAGAAGGCGCCCCGCTCCGGCGCCGCCCCTCCTCCGTTT